CCCCGCGTGCAGCAAAATGAGCAATAAACCGTGTGCTAAAGCCAGAGCCACGGTGGCCTTCCCAATCCCAACGGCATCCCAGTGTCTGGGAGTCACCTGGGTCTGCAGTTCCCCCTCCCCTGATTCCGGGAAATGCAGCTGGGAGTGTGAGCTCCCACAAGCCCTGGGGCCACGGTTGCTTTCTTACGGCGTGGCCAGACAGATTCAGGGACCTGATGCTTATATGGTTGGGAAGGCAGCCCACTTCGTGAAAAGAGGATACAAAGCTGTATTTATAAAATTAGGTACACAAACCAGTATTCATCAAGACGACGACGAAAAAGAGATCACCCCCAAATCGCAAATGTTCAGAAGTCAGATCCCTCAAGCACAACATACATATTCATTAACTACCTGTCTCGCCTCGGTAATAGTTTTCTACGATTTTAGCTGCCTGATGTGGATGGCCTTCTTCATGTGATGGTTTTGCACATTCCTCTCCATAGAAACTCAGTTTATTAGTGACACTCGGGGGTGCAGAGAATGTTATTTCTTTCTCACACTTGCATTCATATGGTGCATCGTAGCTACCGGTACGCACCCTTCCATCACAGGCCTTCTGACAAACTCACTTCACGAAGTTGTCATTGAAACGGGACGAGAAGATCTGGTGTGTTTAGCGTCGCACCATTGCAGCACCTTGTTGCACCGGCCAGTCCGCTGCACGGGACCTCTTCAGAGTGTGGGGAAGCAGGGGGGTGGCTTTGAGGACTAAGATGCCCCTTAGCCAAGTCAGGGCATTCTCAAATGCCTCCCACGCGCGTGGAAGTTGGATGTTGGATCTGGAAGACTGAAGGAGTCGGTGCCTTTGGGCTGTGGTGCTGGTGAGGGATGTTGGCAGTGCCGGACTGCCGACAAGCAAGCACGTTTGTCCTGGGAGAAATGCCGCCAGCGTGCTCCTCGAGGCTAGGATGGCAGGACATCACCTCACGTCCTTTGGACGCATTGTTGGGAGAGACCAGCCCCTGGAGCAGGACATCTGCTTGCTATAGGAGAGGGGCAGGGGAACGAAGACCGTAAGACCCTCTGAGATGGGTTGGGGCAGCGGCTGCATCAGCGGGCTCAGCGTGCAAACAGTGGTGAGGACGGGGCAGGACTAGGCGGTACTTAGCGCTGCTGTGCACAGGGTCGCCGTGGGCCAGAACCTACTCGATGATACCAAACAGAACCACATCACCGTGTGGGATCATTCCTGCCAACTTGCCCGGGCCAGGACTCTCAGCGATGTGGCAATCATCCCTCAAGATGAGCTCTGTGTGAGTCTGGGTGCTTTAGAGAAACAAATACACAGAAACTCATGTATGAGAGAGAGTTTTATATAAAGGGTCAGTGCACATCAAGAAAACATCCCAACCCAGTGCTGCCCGACCCCACAAGTCCAACATTAGTCCATATGTCCAACACCAATCCACAAAGTCCTCCTCCATCTCACAAAATACATGCAATGATGCCGACTGCAGGAGGAAAGCCGAGTCA